TCATAAAATGTTAGGCTACAGATGTGGCTAACAGGAATCCAAATTGGCTAATGAAAATTGATTCTGGCTAATTGTTTGGCTACAGAAAAAAAAATCCTAGCTAGGGCCCTGGTAACCTGTAGTCGGAAGGTCAAATCTAGAGCTCCTACTTAAACAGTTAAACTAGAGGTATTGAGGCCATGATAAAAATATTGTTTGTTTGGCCTCACCCGACCGAACCGCCAAAAAGGGGCGGTTGTGGTACAAATTCACTGTACATTATATAAATCTGTAGGCAATACATTATATGCACCAAGCAAAACAAACATTCAACATAAAAGGTATTTCCACACAAGCACACCCGAGCATGTAGACGCCATGCTGAATTTGTAAAAAGACCCTTGCCCTCAAAAAAAAGCTGACCTACCTACCCAAACTTTTCAGCTTGGGTCGGGTGAGGGCAAACAAAGATTTTTTTATTTGCGGTCTCAGATGTAGAGTATCGCATTGCTTGCTTCTAAAGGCGGCATTGTTGGACTTTCGTTTGCAACTTTGCGAATGTCACATTGTTACATTGTCCACTTGTACCACGATGACCGCTCATGTTGTTGCATTGTCCACTTGTACCACGGTGACCGCTCACGTTGTTGCATTGTCCACTTGTACCACGGTGACCGCTCACAATTGTTTTGATGATCGCTCACACTATTACGATGATCGCTCACAATATTACGATGATCGCTCACAATATTGCGATGATCGCTCACGATATTACGATGACCGCTCACACTATTACGATGACCGCTCACACTATTACGATGACCGCTCACAATAGTGCGATGACCGCTCACGTTGTTGCTGCGATCGCTTGCAGGTAGCGATGGTGTGTCGCTGAACGGAGGCAGCGGTGTGTTGGACCTGCACGTTAGCAAGCAGCAGCAGCAGCAGCAGCAGCAGCAGAGGCTGGAGCAGCTGGAAGCGGCGGCGATGTACGACGTGCGCCGCGCCGCCGACGCCCACGTCGACACCGACGACCTGATGAGACGGCACCAGCTGCTAGTGCAGGTACGTACGCGCGCCACGGGGGGAGGCGGAGGGGGAGGAGGAGAGGTTGTTGTGATGAGGAGGGGAAGAGGGGGTTCCTGTGATGAGGAGGAGGAGGAGGAGCAGGAGGGGTTGTTGTGATAAGGAGGGGAAGAGGGGCTTCCTGTGATGAGGAGAGAGTGAGGAGGAGGAGGAGAGGTTGTTGTGATAAGGAGGGGAAGAGGGGGTTCCTGTGATGAGGCGGCACCAGCTGCTAGTGCAGGTACGTACGCGCGCCACGGGGGGAGGCGGAGGGGGAGGAGGAGAGGTTGTTGTGATGAGGAGGGGAAGAGGGGGTTCCTGTGATGAGGCGGCACCAGCTGCTAGTGCAGGTACGTACGCGCGCCACGGGGGGCGGCGGAGGGCGGCGA